GAGTTCTCTGCTCCAGCGGAGGCGGCCAAGATGGCGGTTAATCAGCAACACCTGAAGCAAGCATGGGACACATCACTGGTCTCTACGAGGGAAGACTGGCTGGAATGGATGCATCGGCTCTCCGTCGAGTTCATGAAAGAATCACCGTCGCACGCTCTACGTGCTTGTATGAGCTTGGTGGACGTTCATTCACCCCTGGCTAAAGAATTGTTCAACGCGGCATTTATTTCATGCTGGCGGGAGCTGTACGAGCAATACCAGGTATGTCAATGGTTTGTGGTTCGGGAAGTGCAGATCTCAAACCGGTTTCACAGGAAGATCTCGTTCGCGCTGTCGACCGTGCCATCACGTCGCCGACCGCGCCATCAGAGCTTATACACAGGTTATTGAACTTGTGCGAGTTTATGGAACACGAGGATCAGCGGCTCCCGATTGAGAACAGCATTCTTGGAGAGTATGCGCTCAAATATCACGCCTATGCCAAGGCCCTGCATTACAAGGAGCTTGAGTTCTTCACTGAGACATCTCCGTCGATCATCGAAGCGCTGATCGGAATCAACACGAAGTTGCAGCAATCAGACGCAGCGTGGGGCACACTCCTTGTCGCGCGAGAACAATACGATATCACGAAACACGACCAGTGGTACGAGAGACTTGGGCGGTGGCAGGAAGCGCTCCGCACGTACGAGCGCAGGGAACAAGAGGACCCAGGCAACCCCGATATCTCGATTGGCCGGATGAAGTGTCTGCATGCACTTGGCGAGTGGGATCAACTTGCGGTGCAGGTCGAGGAGTACTGGGCGAGTGCGACACATGAGGAACGCCGGGAGATCGCGCCGATGGCTGCTGCCGCTGCCTGGTCGTTGAATGACTGGGATTCCATGGACGACTACATCGCGACCATGAAGGCTGATTCGACAGATCGGGCATTCTATCGTGCTATTCTGTCCGTGCACCAGAACCAGTTCTCGAAGGCGCTAACGCATATCACGAAGGCGCGCGACCTGCTCGACCCTGAACTCACAGGACTTATCGGCGAGAGCTACGGGCGATCGTACAAGTGAGTGCGGTAGATCCGATGCGGAGTTCTCGTACCTGATGTTACTTCAGTGTGATGGTTCGGGCTCAGATGCTGTCCGAGCTGGAGGAGATCATCGCATATAAGCAATTCGCTGATCAGCCCGAACGCCAGCAAACTATCAGGAAGACTTGGGTCAAGAGGTATGCTTGCTGTCATTAGAAATCTGACCATCTGCTCAAAGCCACTAGACTACAAGGATGCCAGCCTGACGTCGAAGTTTGGCAGCGGATTCTGCAGGTCCGAACACTGGTTCTCAGTCCAGATGATGACCCAGCTATGTGGATTAAATTTGCCAATCTTTGTCGAAAGTCTGAGCGCATGCTACTCGCCGAAAAGACAATTAACTCTTTACTATCCCAAGAACGGGTAGGCTTTTTCTCAAGGAGTTTGTGAACACGGCTGATCGGTTTTATATTTCCAGCACCAGAAGGCTCCTCCGAACGTGGTCTATGCCCAGCTCAAATATATGTGGGCATCTGGTTCTAAGGAGGAGAGCCTGACCTTCCTACGCACATTCGCGACGAGTTTGTCGAGGGACTTAGAGACCGAAACGACTCAGAGAGGACAGCGGTCTAGTGTATCCAAACAGAAACTTGACGAACTTGCACGGCTTCTAGCGCGCTGCTACTTCAAGCAAGGCGAGTGGCAAATGGAGCTTTCGGACAACTGGGCTACGGTTCGTGCAGTTCACCTTATCGCCTACACTAATCACATAATATCGACGTCTGTAGCGGAACGTGAAAGACATTCTGCACTCCTACCTCCTTGCGACACATTTTGACCCCAACTGGTACAAGGCATGGCATACTTGGGCTTTAGCCAACTTCGAGGTCGTCAACCACCTACTGAATCAAGCAGAAGTGAAAGCCGCGGATGTTATGGGTACCACTTTAGTTCCACACATCATTCCCGCTGTCCAAGGTATTTGCACTTTTGTCTGATCACGTCCAAACAACCAAACAACGTGTTTTAGGTTTCTTCCGTTCCATTGCTCTACGCAGCGAAAACGCTCTCCAGGATACTCTCAGGCTTTTGACATTGTGGTTCAAGTTCGGAGCTCACGACGAAGTCAGTCATGCGATTGCCAGCGGATTCAGCACAGTTGAGGTAGATACTTGGCTGGAAGTAATTCCCCAGGTAAGCTGTCCGCACCTATCGTCATCTACCCCTAGTCACCTGTTCCATTCAGATCATCGCGCGCATCCAAACCCCGAACCCGAATATTAGGAGAAACATTACAAGTCTGCTCACCGATGTTGGCAAACATCACCCTCAGGCACTGGTCTATCCTCTCACTGTGGCATCAAAGTCTCCAAGTGCATTACGAAAGGACGCAGCACTTGCCATCATGGACCGAATGAAGCAGCACAGTCCCGCCATAGTGGAGCAGGTGCGTCTGTGCAATTGATACGGAGCGCGTCTTACCCCCTTTTCAATAGGCCCTTGTCGTGAGCCACGAACTCATACGTGTCGCCATCCTATGGCACGAGCAGTGGCACGAGAAGCTGGAAGAGGCTTCTCGTCAGTACTACACCGAGCACAACCCGGAGGGTATGATTGCCGCACTCGAGCCGCTCCACGAAGAGCTAGAGAGGGTTAGCGCTTACCTAGATACCTACGGTAACTGGCTGCTGACCATTACAACGCCAGGGACCTCAAACTGCGCGCGAAACATCTTTCATCCAAGCGTTCGGTCGTGAGCTTCAAGAGGCAAGAGAAGCGACGCGTCGATATCAGAAATATGGTGAGATCAAAGACCTGGACAATGCCTGGGACATCTATTTTGCGGTAAGACAAATCGTTGTTCGTTGACGGGTGGCTCGTTCATACCTCTCTCAAAGGTTTTCAAGAAGGTTGAGAAGCAACTGCCACAATTGACGACCCTCGATTTGCAATATGTCTCACCAGAATTGTTGAAAGCACGTAATTTGGAGCTTGCGGTACCGGGTAAGCACCCTACGATGAGACCCTCCTGTGTACTCAGTCCAGATTACAGGGACTTATCAGAGCGGAAGGCCCATCATCACGATTATGAACTTTGCCCCTAAACTGTCAATCATCATATCCAAGCAGAGGCCGCGTCGACTCTATCTCAGAGGCAGCGACGGAAAGGAGTATCAGTACGTTCTGAAGGGTACGCACCTTTAGTATGGCTGTTTGCCATTCGCACCCGTGACATTCGGCTTTCTCTAGGGCACGAAGACCTTCGTCAAGACGAGCGGGTCATGCAATTGTTCAGTCTTGTGAACACGCTCCTGTCAGAAGATACCGACAGCTTCAAGCGTCGTCTCCACATCCAACGATATCCCGTCATACCACTTGGACCACACGCCGGCCTTCTCGGATGGGTGCATGATAGCGACACGTTGCACGTCTTGGTTCGCTGACTACCGCGAATCGCGCAAGGTCCTCTTAAACATCGAGTACCGACTGATGCTACAGGCGAGCCCACTTTTCACCATGGTAACGATTAACCACCTAACCGCAGTGCGTAGATGGCCCCTGACTACGAAAACCTCATGCTTTTACAAAAGATCGAGGTTTTCGAGTATGCCCTCGAGAATACAACTGGCCAAGATTTATACCGAGTCTTGTGGCTGAAGAGCATCAACTCGGAACACTGGCTCGAGCGTCGTGCGACGTTTCACTCGGTCTCTTGCAGTCAACAGCATGGTCGGCCACATACTCGGACTTGGTGACCGCCACCCATCCAATCTCATGCTGGAGCGCAAGACGGGCAAGGTCGTGCACATTGATTTCGGTGACTGTTTCGAGGTGGCAATGCATCGCGAGAAGTTCCCCGAAAAGATACCGTTCCGACTAACGCGTATGCTGACTCACGCGATGGAGGTAGGCTGGGTGTCCCTTCGGCCGTAGGCTGCACGTAACCTACCCCCCTTCCCCACAGGTCAGCGGAATAGAAGGCAGTTATAGAAACACCTGCGAAATTACCATGCGGGTCCTTCGCGACAACAAGGAATCTCTGATGGCTGTCCTAGAGGCCTTCGTCTATGACCCCCTGATCAACTGGCGGTTGATGCCAACCAAAACTGACAGCAGGCGACCACCTGGTGAGCTTTTTCCCAGCACCGCATATGTAGATATTCTTATACAAGAACCAGCAGGAGAGTCGGCACGGACTTCCGACTTGTCTCGCGTCAATGCATACGTGCAGGAGCCCGTTCGCAAGTTGAAAGCAGACGAGAACACCATTCTCAATGGTAATGCCAACTACCTTTTTCTCACAGATTCTCAGCATCCCGCTAATATTCTCGTCTTAATTGCAGAGGCCCAGGAGCGCAACGACCGGGCGTTGGCAGTGCTGAATCGCGTGCAACACAAACTCACAGGTTTGCAGACTTCTTGTTTCGCTTCAGGAGACCAGGAATTGACAGTATCTTTAGGTCGTGATTTCAATCCCAACGTTGTACTTTCGGTGCAAGCGCAGGTCGACAAACTCATCCTGCAGGCAACCTCTTTGGAAAATCTATGCCAGTGTTTCTCTGGGTGGTAAGACTCACGCCACGCTCCCGCTTTTTATGCTCACTCCCGAGTGTTAGGTGCGCGTTCTGGTGATTTTTATCTGCACCTTGGTCCACGCTTCTCAGCTTTCTAGTAGTCAGTTGTTGTGATGTACACTGTATCTTTAACCATCTGTTATTCGTTATCTACCTTGTTTTGCGGACTCGCTCTTCTCTATGCCATCCTGATGTACGGAATTATAAAGGATTCAAATTCATTCCCTAGCTCCCCAGCACACTGTAGATGCAACGAATGTAAAATGTTATCTGTGCATTGGCATTGACAGAAGGCTATGCAGGAGATAAAAAGCAGGGCCTGGCCGGGAATTGAACCCGGGACCTCCTCCAAATTCTGCCCGAAGAAGGAATCATGCGACTAGACCATCAGGCCTAAACATGGGCCTGACCGGGAATTGAACCCGGGACCTCCTCCAACTTGCATCCCTAAGAAGGAATCATACTACTAGACCACCAGGCCTTCGCACCAGGGGTAATGGCAAATGCCATATAACCCGTTTGAAATATCTTGGCCCCATAAGGGGTTCCCCTCGACTTGCTTTCGATTGGTTTCAGGGGATCGTCGGGGTTGTTTTTTTTTAGGGTACTGTAGGTCCGCTATGATCTCTTCAACTGCTTCGTATAACTTTATGTGCAGATTTTTTTTCAAAAAACTGTTGAGCTTGACGGTTCCTGTCCCCAAACCTGTTTAACGATCCTTCCGATCATCGACAACCCTGCCTATCCGGTGGACTCGGCACTTTACACATGTCCATGTTCACCGTCATGCCACAGTTTACTTGCGCTCATCAAGCTAATCAATCAGCCTTGCCATTCCCGCGTCCTATAGTGTCTCCATCCCGGAAAGGAGAGTAACCACTGGCAACGCACAACTCACGCAACCAGGAAGCGCAATTGGCTGCTGTTACTATTGGATATCCGTCGCATCTTACCTAAAAGACGTAATAGATTGACGACACACATAGCTCGTGCTATCTAATCACGGACCATAGAACACTTCTTTGTTTCATGGCAAAGGAAGGCTTTCCGAACGACAGCTTTAGCCTGCTCATCTGCGCCCTTCTGGGCCGTTTACTAGTTGGACTCTCTAACTTACTGCGGACCGTCCGTACGCATCTGGGCGCTACGACATCTTCAGTACGTTGCGCGAAGGCCCTTTTCTTCGGAAAGTTCAGGGTCTGGAAACGTAACTCCTTGTGAAATTTGCAGAACAAGCATAGCGTCGCCGACACGCCGGCGGGGGTCTTGTGAGGGCAGTGTTCACCTCACGCCGAACTCCCTGCCCACGCTACCAGGGGAGGGGGTAAATACCGACCCACTGCGCTGATCAAGAGATGGAGGACTGGCCCGGCGTTTTCCTCGAGAGGCCCGAGAGGCACTTTGATCAAAAACACACACTGGTATCGTGCGGGCCGATTTCGGATACGGCCAATGTGGTGACTGTACTGTACACGACCCATGCGGTTTGTCTCTGAAGCAATGAAACTCAACATTTGCGGGTACTCCTGGTTGCTGCAAGACTTTCCAGTGCTCAGCGCTCAGTACTCAGTTCTCAGTTATGGTGAAATGATGGCGACCCACATGCCGTGGATGCAAGCAGGGTTCTGCGAGCCTTGCCTCTCAACTTGCTTACTGGCAATCGTTTCCCAAGAGAATGCAATCGGCACTGAGTGGCATACTTGGAGTTCTGAGATAGAAACTCGAAATCGGTACCGGGTCATACACAGACCGTAGAAGTATTCTCTTTTAGCTACATACATATCGTTTGTTTCCAGGGAAAAGCATCGATAAAATCTGCTCAACCACTGTTTTGTCAATCAAGCTGCGACAGCAATCCGCTCAGGGAATCCGTCGACGACGTGCTCTTTTTCTTGTATAGTGTTTACGACGCCTTGAGTGCGCCGCGCTTTGATCGCTTCTTCTCGGCATTCAGTAACGAAGTCGGTGAACATCTGCATTCAACCCATCGGGTCAAGAAGGCAAAACGCGAGAGAAATATCAAGTACCTCGATGGTGTCGAGAGGCCCGCCGGCACTCTCAGGATGGAACTGCACTCCCCATACACGGCGACCTGAATCGGACGTCGACTTGATACCTTCCACAGACGAATCGTTGCAATTGATGAAGAACGGTTCCCAACCTTCAGGGAAGGGATCCTGAAGCCGCAGGGCGTACTGATGGTTTTGGCTACAATGCCGTTAGCAACAGTACGTCAAGGGACCAAAGGCGCAAGGACGAACCTGGTCACGTAGACCCGGCCCGCCTGGATAGACCCTGATGACGCAAGTGCCAAGACAGGTTGGTTATGTCCACGGTTCCCAAAGGTCATGCGATACGCATCGAGCCCCGCGGCCATACCGATGATCTGATGACCCATGCAAATACCAAAGATAGGTTTGCGCCATTCTTCAAGCACGGGGCGTAACTTGTGCCCAGCAACCCAACACTGCTGTGGATCACCAGGCCCATTGGACAGGAACAAGCCATCGAAGCTATCGCGGATTGCATTGAAGTCGTAGTCCCAAGGAAGGACGGTGACAGCCGCGCCACGCCGCACGAGGGCGCGCAAAATGTTAGCCTTGGCACCAAAGTCTAGCAGCGCGATCCTGACGTCGCCCGACGGATTGTGCACGTACGGCTCCTTGGTCGAGATCTGGTCGACGAGATTCTCCGTGCTAGGGTCCCAATAGTCTGCTTGCGCGGGCGGCGGCAGGGCGGCGTCGCTCCCGACAGCGAGCCGCCCGAGCGTAGTGCCCTGGTCGCGGAGTAGCCGGGTGATTGCGCGCGTGTCGACACCTGTGAGGCCCGGAACGTTGTAACGCGTGCACCAGGAATGGAGCGACTCGATCGCAGTGTAGTGAGAGAATTTTTCTGCCACGTCAGCTACAACGACGGCGGCGCATTGGACGCCAGAAGATTCGAGGACGACGCCCACATCATACGCGTCGCGAGGGGTGATGTTATGAGGAACGCCATAGTTGCCGATGAGTGGTGTGGTGAAAACGAGGATCTGGCCCCGATAGGACGGGTCCGTCATGGACTCGGTATCTGATGACAGTAAAAAAGGGAATTTTCATTATGATTCAAGTGAAAACTCCTTACACGACGTTATGGAGGTGGAGAAGACAGTTTCGCCATAAATACTACGCGGTGCACCAAACGCACGACCAGCGAAGGACTGACCGGTTTTGAGATGAAGCGTGGCGGGAATGGGTGAAGAGTTTGCATGGGTTGAGAACCCACGATAAATTCGAGGAATGCGGAATATCGGACGGATCATTTGAGCCTGTAGGGGTGTGATGGGTTTAAAGCACAAGGAGAGAGAAAACCAGATCGCTGAGATAACTACGTATTTCGGTGAGCGGAAAAAACGTGGAGGATATGGTCATTATACGTACTCGTCTCGAGTTAACTTGTCGTAGACCATATACAAGCCCGGGTTTGAATGTGGTTCAGGTTGGATCCGAGTTGGTGATGTGGCAACTTGTTGACGTCGACAAGCTTTTTATCTTTTCCCACACTGCACGTGTATGTCGGGCGAATTGTCTTGTCTTAATTCGGACGTACAGTATGTGGCGAGGTTTACACGTTTACAAGGCATGTACAGTACCACTGGAGTATGAAAATGTAGGGCATAACGAACTTCAAGAAATGTCATCATATCGCCTCACCCTCATCCATACCACCACGACTTTCTACTCGGCTCAGGCCAATTTCCACACCATTCCTAGTCGCTGGAAGAACGAAAACAATGATCCCGCGGGCACATAACCTCCATATGTCGACTGCCACCAAGCAGCAAAGGTTCCTACAAGCAACAACGCATGAGGATATCTCCCTGCATATACATAGCGACCGACATACCTTCAATAGGACCCAGCTCCCCAAAGCCCAACGCCCCAATCGCCCACGGAGTCAAAACTACAAGTATCCCCAACGCAACAACAGCGAAGAACACCGGGTGCTCCTTTACAAACCCCCAGACGTCCGCAACGACTTGCACCACCCTCTCATAGACGTCTTTCATCGCCTGGCCCATAGGCGCCCCTGCCTTGAGCATGTTCTCCAGGCCGTTGAGAACCGCGGCAGCGAGGCCTTCGTACCACCCTGTCTCGTGAACGATGTCTTGGAGACGCTGAAAGAACTGCTCGTCGTTGGCGTCGGCGTCGTAGAGAGTCGATAGAACGTCTCCTGCGAGAGATTGAGTGGTTTGCTGCTTCTTTTCGTGGGGAAAGTCGAGGGTAGGCTGCTCTTCTAAGACATAGTAGTGGGTGGAATTTCCTAAGCAAAGGCACTCGGCGATTGCGTTCTTGATTGCGTCGAAGGGATGCATTGTTTGAAGGTAAGGTCAACAGTGTGGCGGGACCAGCCAGGAAACATGAGGTGGTATATATCTTCAAGTGCGGTCACGTGCATATGGAATTGCAGTGCTCATGGGATTGCAGTGCTCATGGGATTGCAGTGCTAATGGGATTGTATTGGTTAGACAAGGGCAACAAGGTTTAGAGAACAGCCTGAGTGACAACTTGAAGAGGCGCGGAGAGTAAGTAATAGATACGAAATAGATACGAAATGTTGAAACAGTAGTCAGTGGCACAGCCGTAGAGAGTGTGGACAATCACTATTACAGACGACGAGAAATTCCAGCCTGAGTGAATAGTACCAGTGAGCAATACTGCCAGTGTATATCGGCGACTCGGAGTCGGAGTCGAGACTGCTTGCGAGACTGCCAACTCGATCTCGTGGCGTTACGTCATAATATCACGTCACGGTACCATTTAATACAACCACTGGTCGTATTCGTGGCACTACAGTAGTACACTAACTTTGAATGATACAAGAACAAGTAACAGCATAATGGTCAGGCTTCTGATGGCGCAACGCTACAACCCCGGTCCGCCTCTCCTTCCGCGCCCCGCGAAACCAATCCTGAATATGCTACCAAGTCCGAATGCGCCAGCGTCTGAAGGGAACGGTGGCTGACCGATCTCGCTCTCGCTAGTAGAGTCGCTACTAGATGGCACCGCTGTAAGGCCGCGCCGGAAAAGTCTACCCAGGGGGGTCCGAGTGTCCTGGTCTTCCGCAGTGGAGGTTGCATCGTCATACACTTCTTTTTCGGGCTAGACAAGGCACGCCAACGTTATCTCAACGCAAACTTTACGATCAAGGAAGAAAATTACCTCCAGGCAAATCACCAAAGCGCCCATGTGCCATCCTGCGGCAGTGGCAGCGAAGCAGAACCGTCGCCCTCCGGGATTCGGTCCGTGGTTAAAGTGCACTGGGGAAGGCGACTCGACTCTGGGAGGTTCGAGGGGACCCCACTGCGAGGTCCGCGACTGCATAAGGTGCGCCTCTGTCTCGTAGCCGCCGGGAGCACCGACTGGTAGCTCCGTCGGCATTCCGAGGCCTAAGGCCCCATGAGAATATTGTCCCCAACTTAGCAACTGCCCATCAATGGTA